AAGGAGTCCTCAAGACTTTGTGGAATGGCACTATCAACTAAAAGTAGTGGAATCAGTTATCTTTTTTTCCCTACCCATTTTAATTAATTATTCCTCTAGATTTATTCATCAAATCATTGAATTTTTTTTTTATACTGAGCACAAAGGGCCAGATATTTTGCACTGAACAAAATGGACAAATTCCCTGTCCTTGAAGAGTTTAGATTCTAGTGGGGCAGATGATAATAAACAAAATGTCAAATGAAACCAGCTCAAGAAGCTGAAGCAGGAGGATCTTGAGTTCAAAGCTGTCCTCAGCAAAAGTAAGGCACTAAGCAACTCAGTGAGGCCCTGACTCTAAATAAAATACATAACAGGGCTGGAGGCTCAGTGGTCGAGTGCCACTGAGTTCAATCCCCAGTACCCTTACCCACGCAAAAAAAAAAAAAAGTAAAATGATAAGTTCTGTAAAGAGAGGTAAAAGGAGGGTTGGTATAGAAAGTGCTGGGGGGATTACTACTTAATATAGTGTGGCTGAGGAGGGCCATTTAGAAAAAGTGACAGCTGAGCAGAGAGCTGAATGGAGGAAGTGGGAGTACAGATGTTTGATAGAAGAACATTCCAAACAGGGAGCAGCAGGTGCAGGGGCCTTGAGTGGCAGCATGCCTGGTGGGTCCAGGTACTCACCAGGCAGCTGCCCCTAGGGGACTTTTTAGATATAGGTGGTGGTTTTGACTTGCTGACAAGGAAAGTACCAGTGTAATTTAGTGGGCAGGCCATGATGGGTGTGAGACTCTCCCATGTAACAAGGAATTGATCCACCCACCTCTTGCCCAACTTTCAAATGTCTTGCTGGCTATTTGTGAAGATGAAAAAAAATCTATTTCTAATTATTTTAGAAACAGATAAATACACCTATTATACACAAAGTATTTGAGGGCTGGTTTAATCTGCAGTTTTTGAGAAATACAACTAAACTACTTGTAAATCAAGAGAATATTGAAGTTTGTTTTCTTAAAGGCTTTACCAAGAGCTGATCATCATTCTTGGAAAATAGAATAGCAATGGCATCTTGACTCCACATCCCCACACAGATGCACAGGTCACATCTGAACACATACCTCATAGCCGTATAGTAGGAGCTATGTAACATGCCTGGTAAGATTTCCTTCTTCCCTTTGTCCCCGACACAAGAAAAGGGATGATCCCAGTGACTTAAGTGTGCTGACTTGGCTGTGCTGCAGGGCCATTTGTAAGCCTTTCCTGCTCTTTGCTTAATTCCTGTCCTTATCTCCAGTCCCTTGAATTTGTGTGTTTTATATTTTTATGTGGATACTCATCCTAATTTTTCTCTCTGTATCTTCTGCCTTTGTTTGGAGGTTCACTTGGGTGTGGGCTGACATGTCTCTGGCAGAACAGTCACACAAGACCTCCTTCATTGCAGACCTTTGCAGGCCAGTAAAGTTGGGCCCTGTCCCTGCCACATTTATGGGCATGCCAAGTTTTATGGCAAGCTGCTGTCTACATGAGGGACCACTCAGGAAGTCCTGCATGGGCTCTGACCTGGTCTTCTGGAAATTTCATTGGCCAGTGTTCACGCTTCCTGCAAAAAATGAGCTGGTTCTGTGAGCTTGACCTGGCCTGACTTCCCTGGGGAGGAGTGGCAGTGAGGGGTTTCCACGTCAACTGTGCACTTAGGTGCTGGGCTTCAAGCCAGAAAGGCATTCATGAGGCATGAAGTTTCCACCAACAAATCCACAGAGCTTCCAGCACCTGCCTTTCTGCCTCAGGCCCAGCTTCAGTCACCTGCTGGCTGGGGAATCAATATTGGCAACAGGTAACAGAGACCCAGTTCCTGGGGGTGGGTGTGCAGATATAGTCCCTAGTCAGGACTTCAGTCTCCGACAGTATGTACATGACAGTGACAGCTGCCTGGCAGGACATAGTGGCTCACATGTGGGGTGGGGGCTACTGCTGGAATCAGCCTTGAGGTTTTGAGCCAAACTTAATACCAGTGCACAAACCAGAACCTTTTTAGGTAGAAGTAACAAAATCCAAACTCTAACAAGTTTAGGCAACTTTACTGGTTTCCTGAGGGCAACTATAACAAATTACCACAGTTTTGATGACTTAAAACAATGGATATTTATTCTCAACAATTCTGGAGGTCAGACATCTGAAACTGAGGTATTGGCAGGAACTTGCTCCTTCTGGAGGCTCTGGGGAGAATCCATGCCTTGCCTCTAGGTTCTGGTGGCTCCTGACATTCATGGGCTTGTGGCTGCAACCCTCTGACCTCTGCATGGCTTCACCTTGCCTGTTCCTCTGACTGTATCTAGTCCCTCTCTGCATGGCTGTTAGGAGAGGTGTAATAGCGTGTAGTGCCTACTAGGCTGGTCCAGGATAAGACCCTCCTCTCAAGATCCATAACTTAATCACATCTTTTGCCATATAAGGTTAAACACTCTTTTGCCTCTCTGGTGACATTTTCAGGTTTTGGGGAGTAGGACATGGGCACCTTTGGGACTGGTGGCAGCCATGGAACACTTTTACAATTTTCAAATAGGTTCTATTCGCTTCATCTGCCCAATTGTTTGAATGGTATATGCCTATGCTTTCCTATACAGTATTTTACTTTTATTTGGAGTCATTTCTACTCTTTTAAAATGTCTACATTTTACTCCAAGTTGAAAATGGGGCAGGGTTTCACACACCTTCACATAAGGAAATCATTAGCAGATGTTTAATTCTTCATTTGGGCCACCGTGTGATTGCAGTGAACAGAGCAGGGTGATGCTTTCACGATCCCATCCCCCAACACACCCTGTCTCCCCAATCCAGGTATAGGCATCCATTCTCATGCAGGTGTGTGGAAAGGTAGAATTCCCTCCTCTTCTCCTTTTTGTTTGTGTGTTCTGTACTGGGAATTGACCATTGAATCCAGGGATGCTCTACCATTGTGTTATATCCCTAGCTCTTTTTATTTTTCACTTCTGTGACAGGGTCTCACTAAATTGCTAACCCTGGCCTAGAACTTGCAGTCTTCCAGCCTCAGCCTCCCAATTATAGCTGTGCACCACTGCACCCAACTCCCTCTTTTTTATGAGGGGAGAACAGGTTGAACTCAGCTTTGCTCTGCCCAACACCTTCTGTTTATTTAGAAATCAAGATGACCCTAGGCTAATATCATTCTCCAGGCCATAGAAAGAAACCCACAACTCATGCTTGGTCCATCAAAGTGCTGCCTGGTACAGCCCATGAATGCTGGGGAAAGGGTACTTTTCTCTGTAGGGACTGCTAGTAAACCTGGGACACTGGAATCCTACCTACCTCTTGGCGAGGGCCTGACTGCAGAGGAAAGCCACCAGGAAGACTGACCGAGGCAATATCATTTGAACCTGGAGACAGCTGTGCATAAAGCCTGGGTTGCTCAGGCACATGCTCAAACCACTTTGAATTAATGTTATAATCAGGAGCATCCTGGCTGAAGCTGAGAGCTGGATGACAGTCTCAGCAAGCAGCCTGTGGGTTTGGTTTGAGTTGCAATGTGCACACCCATTCCCAGAGCTGCTGTTCTGGCCTGGACAGCCCTAGGCCTAAGTTTTGGTATGGTCTGTACTTAACTACTGCATCTTAGGTCAGGCTTTCCCAGAGCTGAGCCCAAGACCAGGATTCTCACACAATGAAGCAAATGTCCTTAGGGGAACCTGTAAATGAAGGAGGCAGGAGGGCAGGGGCAGGAGCTGAGCCAGGAGGAGGTCTCAGCAGACAGAATTGTCCCACCCTGAGGCAGGCCAGGCCCTTATACCCCTGCCTCAGTGCTGGACTGTAGCTGCCTCGGGAGTAGCATATAACCTAACAGGTGTTCTGGGCAGTGATTCTCTAGAGAAGGAGACAGCTGTGAGTTGGGTAAGCAACACCATCATCATCATCAGAGACCAGGAGGTCTCTGAGCAAGGCACCAACGGCCTCCACCTCAGCAAAAGGATCCTTTTGGAAGGTATATGCCTATGCTTTCCTATACAGTATTCAATTTTTATTTGGAGTTTTCAGAAGGATTCTTGAAGGGGCAGCCTGGTAACCCTTTCGTCGTCAGGAGTCTCCAAGCTTCCCAGGAAGAAGGAAACAGGCAGAGGATTAGTACCCAAACCCTTGTGTTGTACACAGCCCTCCCCAAACTCCTTTGCAGAATGCAAATTTTTTTTTTCAGTGCTGGGTATGGAACTAATAGAATTCCCACCTCTCTTCCAAATACTGGGGATTGAACTCAGAGACGTTCTTCCACTGAGCTATATCCCCATGTCTTTTTACTTATGTATTTATTTAGAGACAGTGTCTTATTAAGTTGCCGGAGCTGGCCTCAAATTTGCAATCCTCCTGCCTCAGCCTCCTAAATCACTGGGATTACAGGCATGCCTCACCATGCCCAGCCCAGGACTGCAATTTAACACTGTTTGTAGCATTTGTGGGTCACACTAGTTTAAGTGTGTCATCTGGCCACCCCAGATGCGAGGGAAGTTGGAAAATATAGTTTCTTTATCTGAAAACTAGCAGAAAAGGGACAAAAGCAAAAAAGTCCCTGACTATAGGGCCTGAGAGTTAATTCATTTCAGCATCTGTAGGTAGACTGATAGGGCCCAGAGAAGTTCTGGGGACATCTGAAGTCACATAGGACAGGAGGGGCACACCCCACAGCTAACTGGTCTCCAGGCTCCCGAGGACCCACACAACATGAAAACAACGTCAGTCTCAGTGCATGTGGGTTTATTGAGCACAGCACTATTCCTAGTGCTGGGGAAACCATGGGGGAAAATGGATGACCAAGTGCTAGTTCAATGCAGGGGCAGGATAGGGACTGGATTCTTTCACTCCAGGGGGTGCCCACCAAGCAGCATATCATGGACAGGAATCACTCTGCTAACATTAGTTCTGGGGTGCAGTTTTTGCCTAACTGGGAGGGTGCACTCAAAGGCTGCAGTGCTAGAGGGAGTCTGTTTCCATGCATTCCTTAGGTGCTACTGCTTGGGAGGCTGACACAGTTTCTTAGAGTTCCAGGAGTCCAGATGGTAATCTTGGATTCTAGTGAGGCCTCTGCAAAGGTGACCCTCTCCTGTGCCTCCCCAGTGAGAGAATCCAGTTGTCTCAAGGTCTGTGAAGAAAGGGACCTACAACCAAGATGACTATTGATAGAAAACCAGGGCTTTTGCTGTCAGGCCCCCAGTCTCCAACCCTCACTCCAGGGCATGGGCACACAGGTGTCCAGATGGGCAAAGGGCAGGTGGGAGGCCTAGCCAGTCACTTTTCAGGGGGCAATAAACCAGAGACATGGTCCTGAACTCCAGGCAGTAATGTGTAGTCACCTTGTGGTCCAAGGTCTGCTGTCTTAGAGCAAGGACTGGAGAGCCAGAACAGGGAGTATGGACTGCAAGGAGCTCCCTTCCAGGGGCCTGTCAGCCGAGGACACCTTAGGAGTTGGAGCAGAGTGAGGACTGGAGATAGGAGCCTGGTACTGCTTTCTACCTGCACCCCATCCCCAGGCCAATCAGGCTTCCATCTCTGCAGGTCTGGGTGGGAAATCTCAGAAAGCAGCAGTGCAGGAACTGACTGCATCTACCTGTAGGAGGCGCTGCCCAGGGTTGTGGTGGGAATCCAGCTGGTCCTGCAGGATTGAGGGCCATTGGCTGTCAAAGGATTGTATGGCACCATCTATGGAGGAAGGGGTCCAGGGTGAGCTTGACTGGGAACCCCAAGCACAGCAAGTTCCCCTGGCATCTTCAAGGAATGGCTTCTGGGACAAATGGGAGGTGCATGCTAAGGAATAACAAAATAAGGACGACTGTGCCCAGAGTGACTCACTACTCTAGTCTTCCATCCCGATAGAAGGTGACAATTATACCCCCATTTTACAGATGAACATAAAAAGGCTTACAGGAGTTAACAAACTTTCAGCTAGAAAGTGGCAGAGTCAGGTTTCAAACTCAGGATCCATAACTCTCAGACCATTAAGACATTAGGACCCCATGAGAGGAGCTCACCAGAGGAGGGAGGTAGCACATAAGAAAGGAATCAGAAGTGCTGGAAGTAGAAGTCTCCCCTTGGTCAATCCCAGGCCCTGAGCAACTTGTCTTAACTCTTGCCCCCTCCCGACCTTAAGGACCTCAGCCTTGACACTACTAGGATTCTGTGACCTGGTCTCCAGAGACAGCGGGGCACGTTTCCCAAAGGAGTACGATGACAGATAGCAGAGGAGGGAATGTGCTTGAGTGGCTGCCGCAAGAAGCCTCAGTTTCCTTCCCTCTAAGAGAGACTCTGCCAGCCAGGCGGTCACCCGGGCTCTCGCGCCACCCCTGCGAGGGCCCCTCACCCAAGCAGCGGTTTCTTGTAAAGAGCCCCCGGAAGGCTTCGCACTCCTCATGCCGGTTTCCACTGGCTCTGCAGTCGCACCAGGGAGCCACCCGCGCGCTTGCGTTGTCCACGTAGTTGGGGGTGATCGCGGTGCCTGGGGGATCCCAAAGGAGGGGTCATCGGCCCATACTGGCAGAGGCATCTTCTGGAGAGCCCCGGCCGACGCCCGGATCCCAACCATGCGTACCCACCAGGCCCGCGTAGGCGCGCAGGCAGTGGGGGCCCTGGTCCCGCAGGCAACCGTCTTGGGAGCTGGGGGTCGACACGCGCAGGAGGCCTGAAAGGCCAGGAGGCGGGGCCTGCGCGGGGTGGGGCGGGAGGGAGGTGAGCTGGCAAGAGGATCCGCCCTGCTCAGCCCAGGAGACCCGCCCAAGTCAGCCCCGCCCCGCGCACCTGCAGACCAGGCTCTTCTCGCAAGCGTCCAAGGCTGCAAGGCAGGAGGGCGGCTCATGGCCCGGCCCCGAGAAGGCGCAGGCGGGCACGAAGGTTTGGCGCCGTCGCTCGGAGCACGCGGGGCTCGTACATGGGCAGAAGAGCAGCGCGTGGGTGAGCGCCTGAGGACCGAGGGAAAAGAAGCGGCGCAGGGCGCGGTGGCAGCGGGAGCGGGGGCAGCTCCCGTGTGCGACCTGACCCAGACACTGAGCCACGTACTTGGTGCGCAGCCGCTGGCACAGCGCGTTGGCTGAACACGCCTCTGCAGCGTCCACGCAGCGGTTCCCCCCAGCGGAGCTTGCAGACCCTGGTGGAGGTGGGGGCAAGCTTCAGTTCTCTGTGCACCCTACGTGCACTTTTCACCCCGCCACATCCCCGGAATTTGTGGGATGCTCAAGACCCAAGCGGGGACAGAGAGAGGACCAAAAGTGCGGCTGATTGGTACCGGCCGGACCTCGTTCACGGAATGGGCAGCGGCAGGTTCTGCGCGAGCCTTTGCAACAAGTTAGGGATAGATGGGATGCCTGGAGGCTGGTCCGAACCCTCCTCAGAAGCTAAGGCCCCTAACTCCCCAGGTACCCTCGCACCCACAACTGCAGCACTTATCTAGAGAAGAATCCACTCCACGCTTCCCACCCTCACAGGCCCTCCCTAATGGGGAATCAGTGAAGCTTCCTGAAGACCTGGCTAATAGCGACTTATCCGAAATGACACTGAGGACAGTGGCCGCTCATCCTTTCTTTTTGGCACAATAGAGCGCCTGACCTTTCCTCTTCTTCCACTCTTTCCCCATATGGAGACTCTTTGGTTCTATAGTTTTCTAGTTCTCCCTCTTTCCTAACCACCTACTGCACCTCCTCATGTCCTCTGTGGCAGAAGGTGTCATCCCTCCCTAGTCCTTCCAGATGTGCCCTCAGAGGGTCTAACTCATCCTGCCCAATATGGACTCTGGCTTCCCCAGCCTCTCCACCAGCCAGGCAAAAGGATTCCCTGAAAAGGCTCAGGCCATTGGAGAGACCACTTAGACATGGCTGCGGGGTGTGATTTCAGAGAAGTCCCTGATGGCAAGCTACAGGACCTTGTCATCAGGAGTTTCCATGAAGGTATGACCTGGTAACAGGTGATACCCTGCTTGAAGCAGAGAGGATTTCTGCCACAGTAGAATCACACAGATGGAGTAGACAGAGAGCAAGCTGTGCTCACATGTGCCATCCATCACCTGTGAATCCAGGCAAGCCATGGAATCCTGAAGTTAGGATTTCGCAGATCCATCCTAGGACTTGAGTCATTGAAACCAAGCTGACTCTTTCCCCTTTTCCTCTTTCAGCCCTTTGCTGAAACCATTCCCCAGTCTGAAAATAAAGGGCCTAATCTGGCCCCTCATCTGTCTTGCTATGTGTGACTTGCTGGGCAGGGGGCATGCTGACTCAGGGCTGGGAGCAGGCCAACTCTCTGGCACTTGCTACCTCTTTCTTCCTAGATTGTGGATTGGATGGCTTGGATAATGGTGATTCTTGCTGTGGCTTCAGGTTTGAAGGACAGACTCTGAAGGCTTGGAATAAGTACACTAGTGCAGGGGGCAGATGGGAGAGGGCCCTCTCCCCCGCCCCACCCAGAGGCCCAGAGGCCCAGAGCAGCCTGCTCTCCTGCTTTGCTGGGTACATGCCCAGGCCTGAGCCATGCACAACAGCACCTAGTGCCACCTGAGGTCTTGTAACCACCTGTTCCTTTGCTTACCTTTCTGGGAGCAACCTTGCCTCCTCTCCACTCTCAAAACAGCACACCTCAGCTTCAAGATATCCTGTGCCTTAAACCTTTACCAGACCCCATTCTTCATACCACACCAAGCCCTAGAAAGTCACCCCTCCTTTGTGTGGAGAAGGGGTAGTTAGAGGTTGCAGCAGATGAAAGGCAGTGAGACACTGAAGATGCCGGGCAATGAGCCCGTGTGAATCTCCAAGACTAGGAACGGAGCACTGGGCTGGGGCAGAAAGACAGCTGGGGGAGGGGAGGCAATACGAAAGGAAAGGACCTGGGCAGAGGTACCAAGATGGGACTTAGGAGGTGGGTGTTTCAGCTAGGCCCAAAGATTGTGTACATAGCATGCGTAGCAGGGCAGACTGCTAGGCTTTTCTATGGCTCCCCTTTGTGTATTCCAGCTTTTCCTGGAATCTTTCTCTCACCCTTCAGAACTGCCTCTGAGAAGCAGGACAGAAGGCCAGGGCTCAGGATCCAAGGGAGGAGGCAGGTGCTCACCCAGTATTAGTAGCAGCAGCAGCAGCACAGGCCCCAAGCAGTGTGCCATGCTTGATCACGAACAGAGAAGGACCGGTCCAGGCAGAGTCCCAGCAGGACAGTGCCCCTAAGCAGAAAAGCAGCAGACACGCAGATGTGTGCTCTGACCCATGCGCTCTGCTCCCTTTGGGAGGAGCCTTTGCAGAGGGAATGATCCTCCGCCCTCTCTGTCCCCACCCCAGGCTGCGTCTCCAGGTGTATCCAGAGTCATGAAATCCAACACCTGAATATGACAGACCCATTGCACTAGTGCCCATGTACCCTCAAAGCAACACCCACACAACTCAAGGAGACTCTGCTAAACTTAACTTTAAGAAACCTCCTAACTTTTCCCCTTTTCTTTATACTTTTATTGTTGACCTTTTGTTAAGTAATTTTAGGCTTGTATAAAATTTGCAAAAATGTTAGCTGTGCCCTTATAACTTTCACCGAGATTCCCATAATCTTACTGTCTTACATAATCATAGTACAACTGTTAGAACTAGGAAATTACCATTGGTACAATACTGTTAAATCATAGACCATTTTGAATGCCCCTGATTTTCCCACTGAAGTTCTTTTTCTATTCCAAGATCCAATTTAGTTTCCCACATGGCATTTAGTTGTGGTCTCTCCTTAATCTCCTCCCATCTGAAGGAGTTTCTGGGTCTTTCCTTAATACTATCCTGATGCTTTTGAAGAACCCTGGTCTTCAAAAGGCATGCTTTGTAGAATGTTTATTTGATGTTTTCTTCTGATCTGTATGAGGCAACATTGTTTGACTAACCAAAAAGTTATTTTATCAATAAATGTTGATATTAAAAATTTCAACATTGCGATTTTAAAAACACACACAAAAAAGAAATCACATCATCTGTCTTGACTTCTAACCCATTGTCCCAAATTTTCAAATACTCCAATATTATTTCAAATTTACCAAAAGCAGCATATTTGTTGCTCAATATAAGTTTTTATAGGTGTTCCACCTCTGGGAAAATGTGATAAAATGGGTTTTAAGGCAAATAAGTAGAATTCAGCTAACAAGGTGCAGGTCAGAATGAAATTCCTTATTAGAAGAGCCCATGAACAACTCTTCCTTCTTGGAAGAGATTATTTGAGAGTAAAGAGAGTGTTAATCTCCTAGAGAGAGTTGCCTGTTGTCTTTTTAACTCCCAGTGAGTTAAAAAATTATGAAAGAGAGAACACAGACAAGATAAAAGCCTATAAATTTTCTCTGACATTGTCCTATAACATATTATTTATTTTATTTTTTACAGTAGTAGAAATTGAACCCAGGGCCCCTTATGTGCTAGGCAAGAATTCTATGACTGAGCTATATCTCCCCCCTTTTATATGTATGTATTTTTTATTTTGAGATAGAGTTTCACTAAGTTACCCAGACTGACCTTGAACTTGAGATCCTCTCTGCCTTAGCCTTCTGCATTTACAGCAGGCTGTCATTGCTATTATCATTCTATAAAGCATACAAATCTATGTTTGGCATGGATACATTTTTATAAAGCAAGCTGACACTGACATCTGTCGGGAGCCCCCTCTTCATCTTTGTGTTTTGCACAGGTCCAAGTCCCTATTGGACAACTGGGTATGGCTTTTGCTTGGGGGATGATGAAGTTGGAGGATTAATGGGGAATCGGTGAGGGAATCTCTTGAAGGTCACCCTAGAAGCAAATACTTCACACAAGAGACATTTTTGTCTGGCATGCATTCTTCCTTTTGGTGATAAAGTCTGTCTCTTCTTTTGTGGAAACCACTTCTTTTCCAGTCTCAATCTTTGTGGCTGTACTGCCTTGGTCACCTCAATCCTCCATGACCCCAGGCCCTACAGTAAATTACAGCAATAGTGATTGGTTCATGAATGAATGGGTAACCCAAGTTGGACTGATCAGCTGGACTAGTCCCGTTAATTCTGGGACTATCAAAGGTGCCATCTTTGCATTGTGTTGGAGAAAAGGAAGCCTGAAGCTACCAGGGACATCTTGAGGAGAACCTGTCTGAGTAAGAGTCCAACTTAGAGAGAAGCAAAGTCAAGATGCAGAGCGAGAGGATGCGGAAGCTGACAATATCTGTGATGTGAGCCCATAGGTGTCTCTTTCCCCAAAGCTCATTTTAGTTAGATTTCTGTCACCTGAAGTCAGAAGACCCTCTTTAGGACCACGTAGGAGTTCTTTCTCTCCATGATTTTTGTTGTTTCTATTAATCTTTAAAACTGAAGCATTCGAGGACTGAGGATATAGCTTAGTGGTAAAGCACTTGCCTAGCATGTGCAAGGCCTGGGTTTCGTCCCCCGCACTGAAAACAACAGCAAACAAACCGGAAAAAAAAAAGAAACCCAAGCATTCAGTGTATATTCTAAGAATCGCAGTCAGCCTGTCTACCCTGGTCATGGTAACGCTTCTATCTGTGGTCTGCTATGGTAATTTGCTGTCTGTAATCTGCTTCATGAATCGGGAAGCTACGGTAGGCTTTCTGCAGCTGATGATCATGGTCCCCGAAGCGTAGTGCAAACCATCATGCGGGTGCAGTGGGTTGGGTTTAATTCTACAAAATCTACTTGCTTTCTGGCCCATGGAAAGGGAGAGTAGATGAAGAAAGGTCACTCAAGACCAAGGTGGGACTACACGCGGCAGCGACCTCTTCCACCTTTGTAGGTGGCCACAACCACTCAAAGGTGTGAACACTCCCCTTCTTTCTAGTAGAGGAGCTCAAGATGAGGGTTGAGGGGGTGAGAGATGACTGCACACTCGAGTGTCAGAGGAGGCACACCCACCCCAGGGGCAGACCTCAGCACCTGGCAGGTGGGTGGCCAAAGACAGTAAGTCGTAGTTGAATTGGGCCAGTGCCCCCCAGCTTCAAGTCCATTGCCCCTCAGCACCCCTGCTCAGCTCTAGGTTGCCAAGGCTCCCTCTGTCTTGCAACCACTTCTCTACCTTTATGCTGTCTGCCTGGTGCCAGCTCTGCTCTCCCAAGTCTCAGTCCTCAAGTTCTCCACCCTGAGCCAGGGGATCCCCAGGCTTCAGATGTGCCTCTCCCCTCAGACATGGATTTCTCCTCCCACTGCCCTCTTTCAACCCATCTGGCTCTTCCAGAAGTCTCCATTTGGTGGGAAGAGTGGAAGCAGCGGTCCTGGGCACTCTTAAGAAATAGTCAAGAGCACTGAGTTTGGCTTCCCCTAGGGTCCTTTGTGGCTTGAGTCCCAGGAAGTTTGAATACCTTTTCCTGAAGGCCAAAAGGGGAGGCAGGTATATATTAATCATGGTTTTTTATTTTCTCTACTTTGTGTCTGTGTGTGTTTAGGTCATCAAAACCAGGGCATCCTGCATGCTCGTGAAGCTCTCTACTGCTGAGCTACATCCTCAGTCCTTTTGGTTTTGAGAAAGGGTCTTGTCTAGTCGCCCAGGCTGGTCTTGAACTTGCGATTCTCCTGCTTTTAGTCTCTCAAATATCTGGGATTATAGCTGTGTCCCACCGCACCCAGCACAAATCGGAGACTTTTAAACTTTATCTGTTTCCTTAGTTATGCCTGGTATTCCACTGGCTAATCTGATTTTGTGCCAGTGCCATAATGATCATTGTAGCTTCACAAAATGTCCACTTTTGGGGAGGCACAGTGGACTCTTTTATCCCCACCCCCAATTTTTTCTTGGTCTAGATACATTGTAATTTTAAATAATTTTATTTATTGAAGGAACAAAAATATGGGAATTTTATTTTTGCTGGTGAACTATAGAATGGAAATACTGTTTTCTTTAGAAATACTGAATGTCTTTATTCAATTCTTCAAGACTGGAGGGCCACGACCATACTTCTGGTGGAGAGTTAGCTTACAGAAGCTAATTAAGGTTATAGAAAATGCTTGGTCTCCGGCACTCTGGAGAACAAAATGCATTAGCAACTGAAGTACAAATAACATATTTCAAGTGAAACTTATCAAGAGGGGCAAGCTGGATCTTGTCAATAGGTCTCTTTTTCAATCTCGTCAGCTCATATCAGGCAGAGTGGGTCCATCAGGATGTGGATGAGTCTTGACTCAAGACCATCAGCTCCCACCCAGCATCACCCAGGAAGAGATTTCTGCTTTCGTGGTACAAAGGGTCCTCGAGGTGGCCACCTGATGTTTTGCTGTGGGAAATACAATCGCATGGTTCTCATGTCAGCATCACCCTTATGATAAGACCCAGAAGAGAGCTACGTTGCTTTTGTGCCTAGTGACTTTACTAAATTCACTTATTAGTGTCACTGGCTAGGGGTCTCAGGGTCTCTCTTTAGAGCAGAGGAAACCTTCATTTGAACTCTCCAGGCTCTTGACCATAGTCACAGAAAGGAACTTCAGGACACTTCAAGTTTTAGTAGCAGAGGAAGAGGTTGTTTGAAAGCAAAAGATACACACCCTAGGAGCTGAGCTGCCTCTTAGGTGGGATGTGGTTTATAATGTTTAAGAGAATGAATATTCAGAAGCAGGGGTTCAGTATGGATAAACTTTTCTGGGAGGTTCTTCATGGAATCTTATCCAACTTCATTAGCATCAAATCATGCAGCTAAGGGGTGGATGACAACACATGGTAATCAGTCGAAATGAGCAGAAAGGTCAAGTTTGGTCAGGAGGTTCTTCTGGTGTGCCTGTGTAGGAAACCAGTGGCTTGGAGAGCAAGGCCATCTTTTGGTCATAAAGACTGGTCTTTATGACCAATCGGGTTTTGCCCGATCGGATAGTGGCAGGATGCCAGGGACTGAGGCAGATCCCAGGCTGTCTGCAGGAGTCCTTTCCTCCATACCTATTTCCCCCTACCCTATCTCTACCCTATCTCATTAGTTTTAAACTTTATCTGTAGATTTTTAGAAATTTTAGGAATACAATCATGCCATGAGTAATGATGATGTTTATCCTTTTCAACCTTTATTTATTTATGTACTTACTTACTTTTTTGTGTGTATTTTGGTAGTGGCTAGAACCTCCATTACAATGTGGAATACAAGTGATAGTAGATATCTGTCTCATTCTCATTAAGAATGTAGTTTGCTGCTGACTTTCTATAGATCTTTCACCAGATTTAAAGAAGTTTCTTTCTATTCCTAGTTTTCTGAGGTTTTTAAATGAAGAGATATTAACTTTTTATTAAATGTTTCCCTCAGCAATGAAGATGATCATTATTATTCTCCTCCTTTATGCAATTAATGTGAATTATACTGGTTGCCTGTCTGATGCTAAATCAATCTTGCCATTTCTACATAAACCCACCGGGTCATGATTTATTAGCATTTTTTATTATTGACAGATTTTGTTTCTTCATTCTTAAGTGAGAGTGACTTGTAAATTTCTTTCTTATGATATTCTTGTCAGATTGTGCTAAGATTGTAACACAAATCATAGTCTCTCCTTCTTTATCCTTTCTCAAGATTTACTTATATTGATATTATTTCTTTCTTTCTTTCTTTCTTTTTTTTTTGTGGTGCTGGGGAGTGAACCCAGGGCCTTGTGCATGTAAGGCAAACACTCTACTAACTGAGCTATATCCCCAGTCCAGATATTATTTCTTTCTTAAAAGGCTATGTTTCCAATGAAGCCACAAGGCCTATAGTTTTCATTGTGGGAAAATTTAAACTATGAATTGTTTTTTAAAATAAATGTGGATTATTCAGGTTTTCTATTTCTTCTGGGTCAGTTTTGTTAAGTTGTAAATAGTCCTTTTTATAAATGTTTCTGTTTCATCTTTTATATTCTCAAATTTATTCACATGCAGTTGTTTATTAAATACTTTTCTGAGGGGAAAGTGTAGGATTTGGAGTAATCCTCCCTTTTTTATTTCCAACATTGGTATTTGTAATATTATTCTTTTCAAATATCCAATTTAGCAGTTGGGCACTGTGGCACATGCCTGTAATCCCAGCAACTTCTGAGGCTGAGGCAGGAGGTTCCAAATTCAAGGCTAGCCTCAGCAATTTAGTAAGACCATCTAGAAATTTTTTTAAAAAAGGCTGGGGATATAGCTCAGTGGTTAAGTGCTGCTGGGTGCAATCCCTGGTACCAAAAAAGAAAGAAAAAAAAACTAAGTTATGGTCCTTTTAATCCAGTCTACTGGACTTCTGTTCTTAGGTCATTAGTTTCTATACTTGTTTACATTCCACACTTCCTTCTTTCTTTTTTTTTTTTCAATTTTAATTTTTTTCACACTAGGGGATTGCACCCAGAAGCACTTTAACACTGAACTACATGCCTAACCTTTTGTTTTTTATTTTGAAGCAGGGTCTTCCTAAGTTGCTCAGGGTCTCACTAAATTGCCCAGGCTGACCTTGTACTTGTTATCCTTCTACCTCAACCTCCCAAAACACTGGGATTACGGGCTTTCGCTGCCACTCCCTGCTCCGCTACTTTCTTTAGGCTAAATGAGCACTTCTTTTTTTCTAATTTATTGAGAGCAATGTGTTTTATAATAATACATGCTTTTTTTTTCTTTTCCTCCAGTATTGGAGATTAAACCCAGGGGCACTCTAGTCCTAAGCTACATTAACAGCCCTTTTGTTAAAAACTATGGGACAGGGTCTCACTAAGTTGCTGAGTCTGGCCTCAAACTTATGATCCTCCTGCCTCAGCCTCCCAAGTAGCTGGGATTATGAGTGTATGTCACTGCACCTGTCTGATATTCTTTTAACTGTTCTGTGGCAGAATACCTTAAATTTTTATTTGAAAATAGTTTAAGTGGGAAATTATTACCAATCTAAAATTTAGTGATCAATTTCTTTTTTTAACTTTTTTTCAGTTGTAAATGGACACAATACCTTTATTTTGTTTATTTATTTTTATGTGGTGCTGAGGATCATCGAACCCAGAGCCTCACACATGTGAGGCAAGTGCTCTACCGCTGAGCCACAACCCCAACCCCAGTAATCAAATTCTTAATCAAATTGTGAGGATAAAAATAAAGACATTTAGGCTGGGGCTGAAGTGGGAAATTATTCCCACTTGTGTTGCTGGGTGGGGGGAGTTGCTGGATGGGGCAACATAAGAGTAAACCCTCATCTTCTAGAGGACATCAAGAGATAACTGGAAAAAAATCAAGGATTAGTATAAGCATAGAGAAGTAAAACACATCCAGAATAATTTAAATTGGGGGAGAAGGGAGTGGGAAGGTGTGAGGCAGGCTGCTGTTACTTTCTCTTATAAAGCATGGCAGCACATTTTCATCTTTTTCAATTGTCTCTAAATAGTATTTCCAGAAAAATAAAATTAAAATAAGAAATACTATGAAAATAAAAGAGAGAATCCCAGGGGCTAAAGAAAATCACTTTTAGCTTCAAAACTGCATAATTAATTACTGGAATAATTATCTCTTAAACCAAGAGGAAGCATATTTGTAGCTCACATAAGTAACCATTATTAACATTTAGTGCAAAATTCTTCTCAAGATTCAGATTATCTGTAATTTAGTATAGGGTACATGCAAAGCTGCCTCCCCAAGCCAGAACGTGCAAATCAAATATTTCCCTTTTGTCAACTTAGACTGAGTTTACATTAATGTAACTGACATGCAATTTTTCAGGATGCATATAAAGTAATTTTGGTCTGTTGGGAAACAGGATTATTATCTTATCTTTTTTAATTTTAATTTTTATAGGACTAGGGATTGAACCCAGGGGTGCTCTAGCACTGAGCTGTATCCAGCCCTTCGCACTTTTAAATTTTGAGATAGGGTTTCACTAAATTACCAAATTGACTTGACTTGCAATCTTCTTGCCTCAAGCTGGATTATAGGTGAGTGCCACTGCATCTGGCTATTCCTTTATCTTTTATGCGCTAACAGCTGATTATGCAGTTAAGGACTTAATCAAAGGGACAGGTATGATTTATATGAAGGAAATTACCTGAAGAAAAGTCATGAAGAACTGCACCAGGTCCATAAAGTTGATGTATTAAGAGAAGGCAATCTATGGCAGAAAAAGAGGTGGCAGATTAATTGGCTACAAAATAGCACCATTGATTCACCCTCTTCATTTCAAGAGTTGAACTGAAAGACAGATTTTTACATTTTAAAGAAGTTAATGAAAAAAAAATTCACTTAGAGCAAGGTCCTTCATTCTTTACTTTCTCTGTTGAGTTGTAAACCCAAGAGTCATATTCTAAGGGGCTGGAGTTGTGGCTCAATGGTAGGGTGCTCACCTGTCACACATGAGGCACTGAGTCTGATCCTCAGTACCACATAAAAATAAAATATTATGTCCACCTACTACTAAAAAATAATAAATATTTTAAAAGTAATTTCTAAGGCTTCCACACAACCTCCTGGAGCCTCCTCTGCACTGTGCACTGGATCTGAAGTTCCTTCAGTCTGCCGCCTCAGACTCCTATCCTGTAACCCCATTGGTGACACTGAAACCCCAGTGACAGACAAATCGATCTGCTGCTCCTCCCTTGGACATAATGCTCTCTTCTGTTCTCTTGGTTCCATCCCAGTACTAACCCTTGGATTTACCTCAGGTGGGCAGGGTCTGTTTGAGCCCTTATTCCTTCAATATTTATGTACCCAATGTGTACTCACCTCAAGATACTTTATTTATGAAATTGTCTCAAATTTTGTTACATTGCCATCTGACAATTTGTTTTCAGTTGGAACTCAAAATAATTTTACTCTACAGTTAACAGTCTTTAGACCCCCCCCACCCCCCAAAAAAAGCTGTAATGTATTTCAGCAAATTTAAGACATCATGGACTGAAAGAGACAAAATTATTTTGTGTACTACTTTTTTTTCCATGCTGGGGATTGAACCTTGGGTCTCATGCATGCATATTAGGCAAGTGGTTTGCCACGGAGCTACACCCCCAGTCCTTATTTTATGTACTATTAAGAAAAACACTGTCAAACACTGCCAACTATGTCATGATGTTTTTAAAATCATTGACTGTAAGATACATTGTGATTTCAGCATTTTAGATTACAAAGAAAGGTCTATAATAATAACAACTGTGACCTTGGGATCACCTACAACATATTTACTATTGGCCAAATGTCAAGGTGTTTTCCCTTCTTTCTTTAGGAAGCCAAGCCCTCTCAGAGGGACAAAGGTACCAGTTTAGTATCTCTCATCTGGAAATGCTTGAGACTAGTATTTCAGATTTTGAATTTTTTTTTATCTGGGAATATTTATCTAGACTTTACCAGGTGAACATCCTGAAGATGAAAATTCAAAATACAAAAGGCTCTGAAATCTGAAACTTTTTTTCTGACAGTGCTGAAATGGATTTAGGGGATTTTCTGATTGCAAAGGTAGTGAGAACTTCCTGTATCACCATCTATTTTAATACAAAGAAGAAAATCTCATTCTTATTTATAAACAACTTACAGCATCATTCTTTTCCTTTTCAACAGTAGGTAGTTACATCCATAGTCTAAGAAACATAAAATCTGTGCTCCCTACCTTTCCACAAGCTGATTTCCATCTCAACTTTCACCAAGATACTTGCTTATGGCATGTTTGCCCCAAGACCCTCTGGATGTGTCAGAAAAATTCCAAGAAACTCAGAAGCCCAGTTAGTCCCAGGGATTTGAGCAAAATACAGTGGATCTGCACTTCCTGCTCACTAATTCTGTGCTTCAGTTAAACAAATGTTTTCAGTGTGTTGTATTATTGTCCTTGACACCAGCCACCAGAGAGCCTCCCTCCCAGTCCGCAGTGGGTCCTCCTGGTCCTTCAGGGCCCAGCCCTATCACTTGTTCCCTCACCCAATACCAATGGGAACTGGCTCACTCTGCTCTAGGATCTCTTGGTGCTTGATTCACTTCCCTTTCAGGGCATGTGACAGTTTACCTTCTGGTTATATTCCACCTTCTATTACGGCTGTGAATTAAAAGATAACAAGATGTCCTGGAGAAGATTCCTCTATTGTTCACTATGAAGACACCGATTCCTGACTTTTTTTTTTTTTTTTAATGGGGATTAAACCCAGAGGCACTGTACTACTGAGCTACATCCCTAGTCTCTTTTTTAAATTTTATTTTGAGACAGGGTCTTGAACTTGGGATCCTTCTGCCTCAGCCTCCTGAGTAGCTGGGATTATAGGTATGCACCATCATGCCTGGCAATTCCAGATTTTTGAATTGTTGTAGGAGAAAAATGTAAAGGTCATCTCTCTCTCACTCTCTCTCATACAAGAACAGAAATACCATTGTATTACAAAAGTACCTTGGGTTCCAACTCTGCAGAGCTTGCTGTAGTAGAACCCCTGGGCCCCCACTCCCACTCCTGTATCTGAAGCGGCCCTGGTGTCCAAAGGCCACTCTTTGGGAAACTCAGAAATAAGAACTAAAAAAAAATCTCCTCCCATACTTATTCCATTGAACAAAATCTTTAGTGGTTTAGGAACTGCATTGCAAAACTAAATCCTCACTTGTTTAGGTTAAAGCCCTGAAGGGAGGTGAGGGTGGTGGGGATAGAGGCACAGACGACAGTGTTTCGAAGCAAAAGGGCCCATACATGATCTCTGGGAAAGGAAGGTATTGTGGTTTGGATGTGAGGTGCCCCCCGAAAGCTCACATATGAGACAATGCAAGAAGGTTTGGAGAAGAAATGATTGGGTTCTAGCCTTAGCCTGATCAGTGAATTAAGGATTAACTGAATTGGTAGGGTATGGCTGGAGGAGGTGGAAATTGGGATGTGGCTTAGGTGTATAAATTTGTATCTGACAAGTGGAGTCTCTCTCTGCTTCTTGGTCACCATGATGTGAGCTGCTTCTCTCTGCCACACACTCCACCATAATGTTCAGCCTCATCTTGAGTCCTGAGAAATGGAGCTGGCCTTCTATGGACTAACACCTCTGAGAACCATGAGCTCTCAAATAAACTCTTCCTCCTCTGTAGTTATTCTGGTCAGATCCTTTATTCATAGCAGCACAGAAACTGACTAAAACAGGAGGAAACAGAGGATGCTTTAGCATTTTTCAAGTGCATAGGACGATGGAATGTCTGCATGGTGGGTCTATGGAAGCTCTGGAACCTCAGTGACTATTCTGCATCCAAGTCTGTCTGTCATGCATGAGTGAGGATGACTTCCCTCAGGACAGTGAGGGCCCAGGGCACTCAGAGAAGAGCCAACAAATGAAGATCCAAACAGAGGAACATCCCCAAGTCTCAGGGGTCAATGAAGCCCAGAGGTTTTTGTACGTCTCTGAGAGAATAAAATGAGTCTCTATGAAAACTGTGAAGCTCCCTCTGCCACATCATTCCTGCTCTGTGCTTGCTTTCCTGAATTTTCTTCCAGCCATTCCCTTTCACCATTCTGTAGAATCCCTTTTCCATTTTATCAAGTTTATTACATATTTAAAAAATCTTCAGGGAACCACTACCAAAAACCACCAAAAGACTACCTAAAGACTCGTCGTGAAAAGCAACGGCCCCTGCCCCTTCTCTCCTCTTCTTTCAGCTTGTCTCCAGAGGCCTCCACCTTTATGTAGGGTTTTTTTTTCCAGTTCTTTTAGGAGTTACCTTATTATCACTAAATTTTTATTGTTTTTCTTAACCTATCCATTTTAGGCATCCTTTTCTGACTTCCTTCTGTAAGGGAAGGCAATTAAAGCCAATGGCCTGTCCCCTCCCTCCATCAGGGCTGATCGCTGCTTAGTGCCTCTGTCAGTCAGTTCCTGTGTTGTTACTGAGGGTGATGCTGGGGGACGGTGCCAGCAGACAGGAAATGGATAGAACACCTTTATGTGGGAAGAGGATGTGCCTGTTACTCACACACAGCTGCTGGAACAGAAGAAAATACAAACATGACCCACTAGGGGGCAGCTTCCCAGGCCTCCCAGCCCTCAGGGAGGAGCCCTGACACTTCTAAGGTGCTGCTGCTTGAGGATGAAGACAGCTGGCTCCCTGGGAAGCTCCCTCTGCCACCCTCACCAGGGTGGGGGGGGCAGGCTGAGAGAGAAGGAGCTCTGAGCCCATCTCTAACATTCCGCAGACTGCCCACCTGTGGCTAAAAACTGCAAAAAAAGAACAAAATTCTGATCCCTACCTGACAGCTGTTGTATCAACAACTCTGCAATGCCATGACACTGCGGACAGGGAAATAGAAAATACAGTGCTTCCTATAAGGAGATCTTCACATGGTGAAGAAACCAGTCTACGCTGGTGGGCACTGGTGCAGGGCAGTTGCTATAGGGGGTACCTGAAGGTCATCAGGGGATTCTGGGCTTCTACCCAAGAATCCCACTTGAACTTCTTGACTCAGGCTTGTCTCCTTCCAGCCCACACTCCAGCTGCTGTCACAGGGTTTTTCTAAACACTCATCTATATCACTTCTTGATTTACAACATTTCAATGCCTTCCAGGGGTCTTCACACCACGATCACACCCCTCAGGGAACTGCAGTCTCCTCACGAGGCTCTACCAGCTCTCAGCTCCTTACACACAAGCACCATCCTTTCTGCTAAGTTTCTGAAAGCAACTGGTCACTGTCTCCCCACCTCAAACACCCCCACGACCTTGCCTCAGGTTTCTACATTGCCTCTGGTGTGGCTTCTCCTCACATAGACTCAGGGCACAGGGAGTACTGGCCCCCTTCTCATGGCTCCCAGGAATACACAAGCACACTTTTTTTTGGGGGGGAGGGGGGATGCTACCAGGGATTGAACTCAGTGATACTGAACCACTGAACCACATCCCCAGCCCTATTTTGTATTTTAGAGACAGGGTCTCACTGAGTTGCTTAGTGTCTCGCTGTTGCTGCGGCTGGCTTTGAACTAGTGATCCTCCTGCCTCAGCCTCCCAAGCTGCTAGGATTACAGGATTGCACACTGGGCCCAGATACAAGCACACTTCTGACACAGTGAGGAGACACTCTTGCTGTCCACTCATGGCTGCTGCTGTGGCCAGAAAGGCTGCTATTCAGTGGTTCTAGGGATGCCTGGTGGGCTCCTGGCTGTGGAGATCTGGCTG